CTGAGTGTAACTACCGCCCCTCCCCCCTCTGCCCAGCGTAAAGCACAAGGCTCGCGTGCAGAGTGAAGCGGAAAAAAAGTGCGAGAGAGAGGCTGAGAGAAAGAAAAAAACCAAAAAAAACCACGTGACGGCTGGCGATAAGGAGCCGGCTCGCGTCGTTCACGTCAAAGAGCCGGCTCTAAGAGCCATTTCGTTCGCGAACGACCCATCACTACTGGAGAGTAAGGATGTGGTTCTAAAATGAATACAAATAAGAAATAACATAAACATCTCTTTCACTGGTTCAACATCTCTCACATTCAGTATTACAGAGAACCCCATACCAGATTGAGCATGGACAGAACCAGATACCAGAAAAAGATGATCATAATGACATGACAGGACACGACAGGCATAAACACAGAATCATAGTTAATTTAGGCTAATTCCCTCATTTGTGAGTCAACACCACCCTCTAGCATATTAATAATTAATATTAATTATCACTACAATGTCATTATTTATCTTTAAATTTATTTTAATGACTGCTAACTACGGTGCACTTTATCCAAAAATTATCCAGTATTTTATTTTGAGCATGAAATGCGGTCATTTTCGTTACGGTCTTTGTTACGGATCGCTTTAAGAGGCACAGCGCACGCGCGGCTTGGCGTACTTGTGATGGGATTTCCGGCTCTTTTTAGAGAGCCGGCTCTTCAGGTTGTTTTGTTGTTTAATTAAATTATTATTAACAATAATATAAAATTATGCACAAAAGGAATTACTAATGTAAAAAAAAGTGTTTTATTTATATATGTTTATATATAAATATATGTGGTGGCCCCTACAGACAAAACACGTACAAACTCTAAAAAGCACGTACAAACTCCAAAACACATTTCTAGCATGAATTGCACTTCCAAAACAGAGCTACCTAGATCACTTAAATCACACAATTAAAAGCATGAAAGCATATGTGTATTGTTTGTCTATTTATACACAAGCATTCATATATAGTCAAATAATTTAAAAAAAAAAGTTTATTTACCTGTTACTACCACACACCAAATCCGGTCGTTGGTACTTGCTGGCTTGTGTAGCCACTAGGTAACACAATCTCAACACTGTCCCTAGCATCCTGGAGCACTTCTGTTGTCTTTTGTACGTGTTTTGAGTTAGTATGTGCTTCTGAGTTTGTACGTGTTTTGGAGTTTGTACGTTCTTCGGAGTTTGTACGTGTTTTGGAGTTTTTACGTGTTTTGGAGTTTGTACATGCTTCAGGGTTCGTACGTGATTTGAAGTTTGTATGTTGTTGTTTATATGTTTGTCTGTAGGGGCCACCGTAAATATACTTTTATTTATTCACTCCACATAAAATGTAATAAATAAATCATATAATACAAAAATCAACT